TGCCGGCAGCCTCGGGAGGCCCCGCAGGGGCAGCCCTGGCGCCCTCTGGGCCGCGCATCCCCTTGGGTCTCCAAGCTGGGACTTCTCTGGAGGCCCCCGGAGGGCCCCTGGAGGGAGCGGCCCCTGACACCTTCTCTTCCCCCACAGAGAAACTCCCTGGAGAACACGCTGAACGAGAGCGAGGCCCGCTACGGCTCGCAGCTGGCGCAGGTGCAGCACCTGATCAGCAGCGTGGAGTCGCAGCTGGCGGAGATCCGGAGTGACCTGGAGCGGCAGAACCAGGAGTACCAGGTGCTGCTGGACGTGCGGGCGCGGCTGGAGTGCGAGATCAACACGTACCGGGGGCTGCTGGAGAGCGAGGACTGCAAGTGAGTAGGGCGTGGGTCTTTTCCTGGACACACACACAAGGTCACCATGAGGGAGAATCATCCCTGCTATAGAAATGGACTTGGGTTTCCAGGTCCTGGCTGGAGTCCTCAAGGGAGAACAATACTTGGACACAAAGTGCTTTTCATGTCTTCTGCTTTCTTTTGCTCATTTTATTCTAACTCTCTTTGATGCTTTTCCATCCCCAGGCTTCCCTGCAACCCCTGCGCTACCACCAATGCCTGTGACAAGCCCATCGGGCCCTGTGTCGCCAATCCTTGCCTCACACGGCCACGGTGCGGGCCTTGTGGCCCTTTTGGGCACTAGTGGCCCTGCTGCCAGGAGGACCAGGGCTTCAGTGGCATCATCTCAACACCATGTTGTCTCACAGTCTCCTGCAGGGGCCGCAATACCGGCTCACAGGGTCAGCTCCAGTCTCCCTCTGGGCCACATAGGTCCTTCTGCAAGCCCAAGATGCTGCAGCTGTGTTTTGAGTCCCACAGAGAAACTTGCAACAGGACCAAGCCCAGGGTGACTCCTTTGTATGACCTGTAATGCTTTCACACAAATTCCTTTGTGTGATTTGGAAATAATTCCATGACATATGGTAGGGGGTTGATGGCACACCTGTGAAACAGAACATAACTGCAATTAATATTTGTCACACTTTTTGGTGTTTGTGATGTAAGAAAAACCCTTTGGTCTTCTTAATAAACTCTTCTTCTGGCATGAAAATTATAATTGTCTGTTTCTTCTATGAATTCCAAAAGTGGCTTTCTTGGACCCATGTTTTCCTCCAGATAGAATGACCATTTGCCCCTAATATGTGGTCTCTGATTACCTCCTAGAGGAAAGTCTTCCTGGACATCACTTGTTGGTCTGAACAAGCACCAAGAGGACAGCAAAGCAGGCAGTGATGCAGGGCTGGGGGATGTCAGTTACCATGGGTTCTCTAGGAGGCGACATTTGAGTTGAGAAGCTGGGTTGAATGATGGGAAGAAACAGCTCAGAGGGAAACAGCATGCCAAACAGAGGCAGTAACCAGTCAAGGGGGTGAAGCCGATGACCCTGGAGGAGCAGGATGGCCAGCATGTCTGCAGGGACTAGCAAGGGAGGAGGGCTGGCTGGGGTGCAGGCTCCCGGTGCTGGGAGGACCTGACTTATTTCCAGTCAACAGGGACACCCTAGAAAAGTGAAGAGGATGGTCTGACTGATACCCTCTGGCAGCAGAGTGGAGGACAGATTTCCTGTTGTCAGCCCACTGGGGGGGGCAGTGCCAAGGGAGATTTTTGTGGGTGAGGTCTTGAAGTTAAAGAATGCACATGTGCAAGACATCAGCAACAACAGCAAGAAGCATGGGGCAGAGCAGAGAGCTGCCCCTGTCTTTATTGTATAATTCTTACACAGGTTGTCATCTCATATTTACCTTCTTACATGTGCTGTAGCCAGCGCATGGGTGTTGATCTGTGCTAAGTCATGGTTACATAACTGTATCCCACTGTGCGCCTGTTCTAGACAAGTGGGGTCACATCCTCCGGTGTCCTTAGACACCCCTGTGCTCTGAAGCAGTCTGAGTGGCTCCTCACCCCTGAGCGTTGCAAAGCTTTGGAGTGACAGCTGACAAGAACAAGTCAAATGTTTTGTTTCATTTCAAGAACCCCTGATATCTAACAGATGCTCACGTTTCTCATCAGAAACTGCAAAGTCAGCTGAAGAGCCACTAAAGGTTGTGGCCGGTCCCCAGGGTGTGTGTGTGTGTGTGTGTGTGTGTGTGTGTGTGTAAGAAAGCCAGGCAGACAGGCCCAACCTGCCGCAGGTGTGCAGAGACCGTCTTCTCTCAGAGTTCCTCTTCCTGTCTGTGGAGACACATGTGGGTCTGGGGGCTAAGGACCAGGGAACGTTTGCAGGCTCCTGATGGACAATGCTTTTACAAGGAACTCAGGTTGGGCTCAGCAGTGGCCGTTGGCCTGGACACAAGATGACTTTGTGTGGTAGCACTGCGTGTGACATTGGGGTGGCCCTGAATGCCTGTGTTTAAAGCTTTAAGATGATTAAAAGGAGAAAGGGGCAGAAAGGAAGACTTAGAAAATCTTGGGATTGGAAATAGCTCTGAGTTTCCATCTGACTGTAAGTTCCATCTGGATCTGAGCCCTCCGTGTGTTAAGGCTCTATTCTGAGTGTAGTTTCTTGAGCTGTAAAATGGTGAGAATAATATCCATCCCACTGCTTTAAAATTGTTTTTTAAACAAAAGCGTTGGTGTGGAAATAGGTGGGTAAAGGTGAACCCAATGCCCGACACAGAGCAGGTGGCGGTGGGGGAAGTCTCTGCTACTTCCTTTGTGGTCCCAGGAAATTACACTCCTCATTCTGACTGCCTGGGCTGGGGAAGCCACAGCTCTGAGACTCAAAGGCTTTGCTGACCCAAGGCCTTTGGCCCCCGGGTGGAAGCTCGTTCCCAGTCCTGGAAGAGGCTGGATGGGGCGAGGTGTACGTGTTGGTAGGAAGGTCCACAGACTGGTGGTGTTTTCACCAACTGCAACAATCAGAATGTCCAAATGTGAAGATAAAAGTCTAGCGATGTGGAAGCTGCAGTGACTTTAGTCACTGAGTGGGGCTGGGTTGCACTTAACAGCTGTTTTCTCCACAGGAAAGCAACAGCTGAGTTCATCACTGGAGACCTGCGGAAAATGCCAGGTGTTTGTATTTGGTGCTCCTGATAACCTGGGTTCTGCACCTGCTGGCCTGGTTGTGGACTGGCTGGTTGTGGCGGCTGGCTGGTGACTGCAGAAGACAGCGCGAGAGGAGACTGTTGGTGGCAGGGACACAGGAGCGGAGCTGGGCACGGTCCTTGGTTGCAGAGCTGGGGGAGGAGCTCCCATAGGCTGGGTGGTCAGCACAGGCACGTACTGACCCCTCTGAGAAGGGTGCTCTGGGGGGACAAGGCAGGGATGAGAGAGGGTCAAGCCTGTCCCTGGTAAATGGTCAGAGTCATTTCGCAAGGCAGGGTGCCTCGAACTGAGGTACAGAGGTGAAGGTGGGTGGCTGGGAGGGAAGCCATTCTCTGGCCAGGTGTTGGCTGGGGACCTCTCCAGAATCTCCCAGGTGAGACATGTACAGGAGTGCCGTCGGGCATTTGTATGTCAAGGAGTTTAGGAAAGTGTGTGTTTGCCCTCCTCTTAGGCACTGAGCCTGGGTTTGCATTTTTGCTCGGAGGTCGGTACTGGAAGGAAGGAAAAAGAGGCGGAAAGAGGGAAGGGGAGTGGAAAGAGAAAGAGGGAACAACAAGATGCAGAAGGGGAGAGGAAGGAAGACCAAGGAAGGAAGGAAAAGAAAAGAAAGTCTTTTGTAGCTCTCTTAAGCAATTTGTAAATTGTCAGTTTCCTTTATCATTTGGTCTTTGTGACCCTGATGTGGCCACCACCTTACCTTCACCTCCTGTGTGAGTCCTAGATGTGTCCCTCGGATTTAGCAGTAGCTCCCACTTTTCTGGTCCTTCTCCAGCCTGTCTCGTGTGTGGCCTCCCAGCTGGGTCTGAATGACCCCTGTGAGCCACCGTTGACTTAGAGACCGGCTCATCTCAGGGTGGCAGATGGAGCATGCGGGTGGCTGACTGGGCAGCAGCCCATGGGCACTCTTGTCCTCACACAGCTCTCAACAGCTGTAGGTGGCACTGGCCTTGGCACACCCTGAGATCGGCCCCAAGTTCAGCCCTGGGATCCCACACACAGCCCATGATCTCCATGCAATGGAGCTTCCAGTCATAAGGTGTAAACAACTTTGAAGAATTTTCATTTTAAAATGATCCCTGTGGCAGACCCATAGGAAGCACCCGGCAGCTGCTCAACGCATAATTAACCTTGAAATTAATAACCCATCCGGGGCAGATGAGGACACAGAGCACAGAGGGCATGACCTGCATTGTTGCAAAATGCAGGTCATGTAGCAAAAATGTTTTCACTCACCAGCAGGAGATGCACAGAGGCTGCTCTGAGGAGCAGCGAACAGCCCGGCATGTGAAGATGTTTTTCTGGTGGGAAAGGAGTGACGCCCCTTCCCTTAATCTTGGCACTGAGGTCTTTGAAGGCAGTGTGTTATTCCTACATTAACAACTGTGACATGGGATTAGACATGGAAATTCATTCTGAAAGTTGAAAGCTTGGTGGCCAGAAGACAGTTGCAGAAAGCAACTTTGGAACCACGCTCAATACAAAAGAGGAATTAAGAACTTGAGTAACTCGCCCACAGAGAGATCGAGCTCTTGCCAAGTGTTTTTCTAGGTTTTTGCCAAATGCTCAAGGGTAGATCCTGCGAGTGGCCTGGCTTGCTCCTGTAGCAGGCCTGGGTGGGGACTCAGCTTGGCTGTGCTCCACGTTGTTTTTCTCCCCAGATGTCCCATGCTGCCGGCTGGACATGAAGCTCAAGGTCCTCTGAACCAGAGTTGATCCAAGGCAACAATGCAGGGCATAAGTTCTACAAAGTTTTAGGTGCTAATAAGGATATGTCTAAAGATTTTTTTTTCTATTCCACTAGTGAGTATTAGATTAAACCAACTGATAACAAGTAAAAACTTGATTAAAAGAAGTGAATCTTTTGGTTTGACCAAGGAATTCTGTCCAACTCACACTAATTGCATATCCTATTAAATAAATTGATTGAAAAATACCAGTTCACATTTATACCTAGATCTAAAAATCAATCTTGGGATCATGTATGCATTTATAAAACCATAAAGTGTTGCAAGTATTACAATATATACATATGCATAATTATGTTTTCCTCTGGGAAGAAGGGATTTGAATAGGAATTAACATGAAAGTCATGTCCTTGACATTATCTTTAACCCTGCATTTACTTGATTTTCAAACCACTTGGAACAAAACTGGAAAACCTTAACCCACCAATCCTAGTAATGTTGGTTTGAAATGTATTTTCTCAATTTATTTTGTGTGACAGTCAGAGTAGGCTAATGTTACTCAAGTAATAAACCTTTCCAAACTTTCCCAGATCTTATCATAATAGAGTTTATTTTTGCTCATGCTCTATGACCAGTATAGTTCATTAGGAGGACTCCGTTGGTCAGATTACCTAAGAACTCTGGCTGGTAGTACCACTGACTGTAGACTTAGTGTATCACAAAGCTGCATGGCAGGGTGAAGACCAAGGGCATTGGGTCAGATGGCTTTGTGTGGAAGTTCATACACATCACTTCCTCTGGGGAGCCACTGAAACTGGAAATTGATCACATGTGTGGGGGTGGGGCAAGGCAGGTCTAAGAACAAAGAATGCCCAAGGCAATCCATGTGGACAAGCTGCTTCAGTCCAGAGAACACCAAGCCCCAAGACAATCCAAGCAATGGGTTGCTAGGCAAAGTGGTGTCACGTGACACCAACCTGCAAATGTGTGAATGAATGTGCTGTGCTGGTTGAGCAGTTCTTTTCCTCCCAGCTGGAGAAAGGGCTCCATCTGACCTCAGCTTTCTGTCTCTCATCTTTATTTCTCCATCCTCCACTGTCCTTACCCCCGGGAACTTGGAGAGCTGTGCTAGACACGGCAACTTCCATTCACATGTTACTTGCCAAAAGTGAGTTGCTGAATCAAGCCTAATTTCAAAGCAGGTAGAACTCTAGACATTCCTACCCCATTTCTCTAGGATAGAGACAGAACTATCTGGTGAGCAGCGGTAATCTCACTTCTCTTGGGCTATTGTTTGTGGGGGTTATTGAAGTAGAGCAATGGCGTGTTCCTCCAAACAAGGTTTGCCTTGATTTCTGTCACTGCATTGAAACACTGCCACTCAGAAAGCCCTCTGCATTCATGACTTGAAGTGTTTTGAATCACCAGGTAAAATGTAAGACAGCATCCTCATAGCGCCCAGATGGCGGGAGTGGTGGGTTGGGTTTATTTCTGGGTCACCATGCCATGAGGCCGTGGCCCTTTGGAGACCTCCTTTGTGGGGAGGAGGGTCTAGTAGAGGCGTCTCTTCCATGGGCAGATCCTGGAGATTTCCTTCTCTTTCTGTCTGTCCGAGAGGTTGCGAAAGCTGCAATTCAAGTTCACCATGTTCAGCAGGTGCCCTGCGGGAGGAGTCCCAGCGCTGGGCCCACTCTGTGAGCACTCACTTTTGCTTCAACCTCCGGTAACTGTGTGGTGAAGCATGCTAGCTCTGTTGCCTGCTCTTGGGTGCTTTTAAGAGAACGCACTTTACACAAACCGCATCGTGTTTAGCTCTTTGCATCATGCTGGTTGATCCAAGCAGCCCAGCTGGCCTTCTACTCTGAAATGGGGTCTCTGCAGCCGTTCTGTCCAACACAGGCACCAGCAGTCTTGCGTGGCTATTTCCATATAAATGTATTAACGCTGAATAAAATTTAAAAATGCAGGGTGTGTGCCACGGTAGCCACCACCCGGGCACGCCACACCTTGGCCTCGTGCAGCTGGTGGCTGCCACGTTGTGTGGTACGGACCCAGGGCTTGTCTCTCATCATGGGCCACTCCGTTGCAAGACACTGGTCCCAGACCAAACACCGATGAATTGGTGACTGGCATGGGCGGCAGGGAGCGAGGAAGGGGGCGGTGACCCCATAGTCCTCTCGTTGACATGTTTGATCACAGAGGCCCACCTCACATCCAACTGTGATTTCATTCATTGACCGGATCTGTACTGAGGGCCCCACTGTAAGTTGGGATACAGCAGCTGTGGTGTCCGTGTCACTGTGGCCTGAACCTCACAAACACTTGGCGATGTTCTGGGTCTAAGGCCGGCCTTAAGAACAAGGGGGCGGTTTTCCAGATTCCCTTAGGACCCCAGCCCTATGGGGCGGAGGACGGGCTCCCAGAAGCACACCTGGGTTCAGCTCTAAGCTCTGCAGAAACACATGAAAGCACATGAGAAAGCTTCGTGCAAGGCCTACCACCTGGGGGAGGCTGATTATGTACTTCCTTTGTTCAGAGATGGTTCGTTGGACGCGTGACTTAAATCAGTGCCGCGCACGCGCAACACGGTTCTCACCCAGATTTTTGTTGAGTTGCGTGGCCGCACCCTACCCCTACCCAGAAGCTGGAGATGTAATGCCAAAAGATGAACACTAGAGGCCGCCAGAACAGAGGGCCTGCGTCGGGTCTACACCCTCAGCCTCCGGGTCTCGGGCTGGGCCCTGAAGTCCATAAAGAAAATCAACTTGGATGAAGATAAAAAATATGTAATATAACAACTAGTGTTAATCCCTGTCATTTTGTCCCGAAACCCTGTATCATTCTTATTGTTTTTGCTTTGTTTTGCTTTTGTCTGTGTTGTTGGCATTTTGCTATTTTTAAAATTCTCTTTAAAATAATAATAAAAAAGAGAAACCCGGGATGCTGTGTAAAGCAACACCTGTCACACACCACAATGGATTCCCGATAACAGCACCAAGTGGAAAAAAAATGCAACCGTGAAATCCAGTGGGGAAAAAAAAGCCAAAAATGGTCTGATTTGGGGATGAGGACTTTTGAAATGAAAAAGCAGCAGAAAGGACAAGGTGGATGGATTTGTCCGCGGGGCAGGAAAATTCAGTGCATAAAACTCCACAGATGTAACCAAGAGGAAACGATGCCGTAGGAAAGAGTCTCACAAGGTGCCTGCCTGGGGCGAAGAGAAAGTTAACGCGCCTCCCACTGCACGAGTTCTTATCAATAAATGAGGAAAGATAGCTTGATAGCTCTGTCCCCTTCTCTCCCTCCTCTCCTTTCCTAGTTCCAGTGCTAGGTGACACTAGCCCCCTTTGGGCTACAGGGAGGCAGGAGGGGTTTAGCCCCCGACCCTCTCTTTGCCAGCCCCACCGCCCCTGGCCTCCCTGGGGTCTGAGTATCACTCATTGCCTGGTGGAGATGCAATGTGATCTCTTATCCGGGTGAGGCTGGGGGCCCAGGTTCCCCGTGACCCCCCAAGCTGGGCAGGGCCAATGCAGCCTCACCCTCTCCAAGGCCAGACCAATTTCCCCTTTCCTCAAAGGGGCACTCTTAACAGGGGCGACCCCGCTGGCTCCCCACTTCCCGCTCCCCGCAATGTTCCATCTTCCCCTGCTCACAGTCTACTTCTGGACACTGCTGTTTTCTGTCCAGTTCATCCTTAGACATCTGGCATCGCTGCTGCTGCCTTGGCCAAGTGTGTGTCCCCATCACTCCCCACCCCCTAACAGTGTCCATGGGGAAGGGACTGGGGCAAGCGGCTGGGCACCCCCTACCCCAGTCCCGGTGATGGCGAGCCCTGCCCCTGAGGTGTGTGGCGGGGCACGCAGGGGGCTCTTGTGGACGGTGGAGGGCCACCTTCCCCCTGTGCTGCTGGAAAGTGGTAGTCGTTATCTGTTCCAGCTGGGGGCTCCTGATGTGCTTTCCTATTTATTTGAATAAAGCAAACCAATTTCTGAGGACAAATCCGAATGTATGTGACGCTATCTCCTCAGGAAGGGAACCCGAGAGGGCGGGCTGTGTCCAACCCCGCCCACCTCCAGCCGGCCACCTCCACCCTGCCGCTGCTCCTGGGCTGCCATTTCCCTTCCAAGAGCCCGGAAGGCCAAACTGGAGCCAGAGCCCCAGACCCATCCCAGGGTTCAGATGTGGGCCTTAACCCTCTGGGTTCAGTTTCTTCCCAGAGGCGTTTTATGCCTTGGGGCGACACTCTGTTTCATTTTATTTTATTTCATTGCTGGGGATCGGGCTCTGCTTTGCCCTAAGCTACATTCCCCACCCTTTCTCATGTTTTATTTTGAGACAGGGTCTCCCTAAGTTGCTAAGTTGCCTAGGCTGGGCTCAAGCATGTGCTGTTCCTTCCTCAGCCTACCAGAGTGCAGGGACCATGCCTGGCTCTGAGATCTTATTTCCTAAAACACACGCTTGTTCTCCAGTGGATCATGGACCCGCTGGTTTTTGTGTATTTCTCTCTCCCGAGCATCTATTGTGCTGATGGAGACAGAGTGACACCCCCCCCCCCATCCCTGCGAGGGGCCGTGTTCGCTGTGCTCACCTAGGGTGGGCTGGGGCTGCTTATCTAGCCCCCCCTGCTTCCTTCCTTCCTTGCTTCCTTCTTCCTGCTTTCTCATCCTCCTCTGTCTTCCTCCCTCCTTCCTGTCTTTCTCTCTTCCTCCTTCCTTCCTGCCTTCTTGTCCTGCTCTTTCCCTTCCTCTGTTCCGGCCTCCCCGTCTCCCTGCCTCCTTCCCGCCTTCTTCCCTGCCTCCCCCTCCTCCTGCTCGGTATCTCCTCTCTTCCATGGCGCAGAAGGCTGCAGCCTGGGCCTGGGGGCGTCAGCTCGGTTCCCATCGCAGCGTTTCTCCGCGGCCAGAGGTGAAGTGCGCGCCTTCGCCTTCCGCAGCCGGGAGAGAATGCGGCTCCGCAGGCTTTCGTGGCTTTACGATGAGTCTTTCTCCGTTTCTCGTCAGTCATGACTCACCACGACGCTCGAGGCGGACCAAGCCCAAGCACCGCGCGGCACACTCCGCATACCACCCAGGCACAAACATGCGCCTGGCTCACGTGGGCCGGGCGAGGTGTGCTCCGCCGGGAGCAGCCGGCCAGACCTGAGCCTCTGCCCTGCCAGGAGGCGCGGGCGCCCAGCTCCTGCCCTGCTGGTGTGCAGACCCAGGCCTCCCGGAATAGGGGTGCACACTGCCTGGGGCTGGGGTCTCCTGCTCCCCCCGGAGTGGATGAGGAAGGGGAGCCTCTCGCTCAGAGCCCAAGCTTGGCCAGCTTCCCCTTCCTTCCCTCTTCCAGCTGGGCTAATGACCGGTGTCCTCCCAGATGTATTTTTACCCTCGGGACAAATAGCAGCTGGGCCGAGTGGGGCTTTTTTATGAGTTGAGGTACCAGGAGCTGGAAAATAAACAGCCAGGTAATGAGATGTTCGTGTGGAACCTGGCGCAAATAATAACAAAGCAGACATCTGTGTCTTGTGCCTGGGCCCTGATGAGGGGATATAAAAGCTGCTGTGCAGCTGGCCTCCGCCAGACCTGGGGGACCTCGGACCTGGACGCTGACCGGCTGGGACCATGGGGTGCTGCCCGGGGGACTGCTTCACCTGCTGCCAGGAGCAGGAATGCTGTGAGGAGTGTTGCTGCCAGCCCTCCTGCTGCGGCTGCTGCGGGTCCTGCTGCAGCTCCTGCTGCGGCTGCGGGGGCTCCGGCTGCGGGGGCTCCGGCTGCGGGGGCTCGGGCTGCGGGGGCAGCTGCTGTGGATCTTCCTGCTGTGGATCAGGTTGCGGGGGGTGTGGGGGTTGCGGGGGCTGCGGGGGCTGCGGGGGCTGCGGGGGCTGCTGCGGCTCCGGCTGCTGCGGCTCTGGCGGCTGCGGCCCTGTGTGTTGCCAGCCCACACCTGTGTGCGACACCAAGTGAAGACCTCGCCCTGCGTCCCTGAAGCTGCGCCCCGGCAGCCCCTCTTGCTCGGCTCCAGCTGGGGATCTCCTCACTGCGGAACCTTCCACGCCCCCAAGACAGTAGCCCGCCGCTCTGGTGCTGAGCCCCGAGGGCTCCTTCTCCAGCGCCTGCCCTGGTGTTTTGAGGCAGAAGAGCAAGAGCCATTGCCTGGCAAGAAACGAGAGCTGTGTCCCAAAGAGGTGAACCCCAGGCCCCAAGGGGGACTCACCAGGACTGAACTTGCCCGGTCACGTTAAGGGATCTTCTTATCCAAGCTGCCTTTTGGACTGATCCTCCTGCCTAGCTTCCTGCTACTTTTGCACAAAAAGCCTCAGGAAACCCCAGGGAAACAAAACAACTCCGTTACCCTTTTAATAAATTCGAGTGTGCTGGCGTAACCCAATCAGTCCTCCTGCCTCTTCCTTCACCCGCTCCCGGCCACAGGTTAGGAAAGTCAGCAGGGTTTTTGCAGCATGGTTTTGAGTCACCTGCATCTGAATCACCTAGGGACCAAAGCTGGTGATCTCGGGCCTTCTTAGGCCTCCAGATGCAGAATCCACAGGGCTGAAGCCTGGGCATCTGCGCTTTCAGCTGCATCTTGTGTAATTCTTTGCATTATAGTCGGAGGCTCACAGAGGCAGACAAAAGCTTCTGCGCACTGCATGACGTTCATAAGGAGGCTTTTAAGAGTACAGATCCTTGGGCCTCCCCACTAGGCCCATATCTGTCAGCGCCAGGGCCTAAGGTACCCTGGGACCTGCATTTTGCAAAGCTCCAAGGTAAGTGTTGGCACTGGTCATACTGAGTCCCGACCATGGGGCCTGGCCTCCTCCTGCCCTGCCTCCTCCTAGGACGGTGCTCCTGGAGGGTTGCAGGGTGTCAGGACTCGCTGGGAAGGCAGGGCAGGAGGCCTTGGTCAAGCCTGCTTGGCTCTGGAGGGAAGGGACTCCCGGGCAAAGCTCTGAAAAGGCACAGTTTCCAAGGATGCCCTCAGTTGTCTGGTTCCTCCAGCCTCCTGCTTGACCTCGACTTGCTTCTCTGGGTCAGGGTTTCTTGTCCTAGAGCCAGCTGCTGGCAGGAGAGAGTGAGAGCCCATCTGGCAGATGGGGCCCCGACCCAGGTGTGGGAGCCCAGCTGGGAATTTAAAATTCAGGGGAGATTTGCTTCAACTCCATGCTGAAAGGGATCTTAAGCTACCTAGGAATGAAATTACCTCTTCTCTTGGCCTGGAAGAATAACTTTCATCATTATTCCTACATAACAGTGTTGCATTTGACAAATAGATCAGAAAATGTTTTTTTTCTGAATATAAGCATGGCAATGATTCTAAACATAGCAAGGATATAAAGGAGAAATAATAGCCTCCCAAGTGCTCAGATATACCGTCTGCCAAAAAAAATGTATACACACTATATATTTGAGGAAAAAAAAATAGCATATTTTTTCAACAGACGCTGTTACTCATGTAAGGGGGACCCTAGAGGATATCACATATCACAGAAAACCCACAACACTGCCAGCTGTTAGAGAAGAAATTGAAAATGCATGTGCAGTAATAGCAATGACCAAGGTTACCCAAGCAGCAGTTCCCCGTACTAATAAATGTCCGGAAGCTCACAGCCACCACTTTGAGCATTTCTTGCAATTGTAGAGGCCAAAGGTAACTTGCATTAATCTCATGATATCTCAATAAATTTAACATTCAAATATTTACTTTTCTTTTATATTTTAGAAAATAGTGGTTTTCCTTTTCGTGAGGTGTGTATACATTTTTTGGCAAACTCTGTATATGCTCATCTATATCTTTCCAGACTCTTCTGTGAGTATATTTACAAATAAATCTGGGATTATGCTGCTTCTATTTTTGTTTTTTGCTTTCTAAAGTGTTGCATGTCATTTTTATAAGTTAATTTTATTGAGATATATTTTAAATTTAATAAAAAGCTCCCTTTATTTATTGTCTAGCTTGATGATATTTAACAGATTTATACATGGTGCTTGTGTCCTGGACACTATGTTCAACACATAAAACTTTTTATCACTACCAAAACTCTGTTTCTCTCTTCCAGTCAACTCAAGCCCCCTGTAACGATCAACCCACCCTTTATGTCACCAGATACTTTGTCGTTTCTAGACTTTCATATAAAAGAAGTCTCATGGTGCACATTCCTTTTTTCCATTTGGTGTAACAGTTTTAATATTCATTCATGTTGTTGCAGGTGTAAATAGCTCATTCCTTTCCACTGAATTATATAATGTATGGATAAACCACATTAAAACTCATTCAGCCTACTGTTTTGACTTTTTGGCTTTTATGAATAAAGTTGGTATGAACATTTGTGTACAAGTTTTAATGTGCACATATGTTTTCATTTGTGGTGGATGAATACCTAGGGTTTGGATTGCTAGAGAAATGACTGGTGAATGTTTAACTTTCTAAGAAACTACCAAATAGTTTGTGAAGGAATTACACTGCTGCTTGCATCCAACCAGCAAGGTCTAAGTGTCTTAGTTGCTCCATGTCCTTGTTAACACTTGATATTATCAGTCTCTGTGTTTTTAGCCATTCTGGATGTCTACACATGGCTCACTGGGCATTCATATTTTGGTTTCATTTAAAAGCTTACTGGTCCTGGTGCAGCTATCATGGTCTTCCTTTTGGAGAGAACCTGAGGTATGACTGCCCTGGTTCAGGTTCAGGCTCTACTACTTCAGTCATTTTCGCTGTGGCTAGAATTAGTCTCCTAGGAACTGAGTTTGGAGCCTTCAGGACAAAGCCACAGCTACAACAGGAGTGTGGCACAGGGCAAATCCACCAAGAGGCCAAAGGGTCTGTGCCGAGTGGCTGTGACTCAGAGCAGCTGGCTGTCCCATTGCTCATGGCCGTGTCTCCCCGATGCATGGGTAGAGGTAGTGATTTCTCTGAATCACCACAAGAGTTGCTTTCCTTAGGTTCTTGCTTGTCCATTCAGTAAACATTAATTGTGCACCTCCTGGGTGCCAAGTGTTGATATAGGTACTGGGTATTCATCAATGAATAGACAAAGTTGTTGCCCTTATGACATCAAGGAGTGATACGAATCAAGTGGGGATGGGCCACATCGTTAGAAGAGCTGCTAGTTCACTTAGCGTGGAAAAGATTCTTTGAGCAGATGGTGAGCCAGCACAGCAGAGGATGATGTGCTTGTTTCTCAGCTGGAAGCCTGTGAGAGATGTTATAGTCAGGGTTTGCAAGGGAACAGATTTAATATGGAACAGATAATTTATAGGATTATTTCATAATATCTGATATCATATCAGTTATCTGTCCACATAGTAGAGACCTGAAGAATCCAGCTGAGAGCCTGGATCCCATGACAGTGTCCTGCATGAGTCCAGCTGAAGACCTAGAGCCCATGGCAATGTCCTCTACAAGTCCAGCTAGAGGCCTAGAGCCCACGGCGATGTCTCATGCAAGTCTGTATCAAGGATCTGCATTGGGAAGGCCCAAAGGTCAGTGGTAGAACCTAGAAAGTCTGTGCCAGCAGGATGAAGGATCTGTGCTCGAAGGCTGAGGGACACTGCACTGGAGGCAGGAAGCGATGCTCGAGGTAAGAACCAGAGCTCCCCTGAAAGGAACTGCAGCCATCCTCAGCAACAGTGAGGTCCCGAGCTCCTCCTGCAGTGAAAATAGCCGAATTCACATCAGGAAAAACAGTGACAAGCTTCTTCAGCAGAATCAACAGCACACCATCTTCCCCTCCAGTTCTGTTTTTATGCTGTTGGCAACAACCCTCAGGTGGGCCTTCCACACCCAGAACCACTCAGTTCAGCTGGATGTTACAAGTGGACCATTGGTTAATCCACCGGAAGAGATTATTGTGTGTGTTGGGGAGGACCATCTCTATCCAGAATTGCATCATGTACTTAGTTAAGGAAGAGAAGTGGATGGAGAGGAGAGGGGCTAGGAATCTTTGGCTGAGCTGTCCAAAGTCCCCTTTCCCCACTTCCATTGCAAAGAATGGCACTTCCTCTTCCTACGATTGCATTCACAACCTGTAAAATTGTAAGTTCTGCCTCCTTCAACTCCCGTATCACTCCAGCCCCCAAAGTTCAGGTTGTCACCATGAGGTTTCTGGGTAATTGCTCCAAGCTCCCTGCGTCCAGTCTTGTCCTCTTCCTACCTGCTCCATGACCAGAGAGATATTTCCAAAGGGCAAAACTGATCAGGCTACTTTCCTGCTCAGTCTCCCAAGTGCCATGACAAAATCCAGCTTCTTGCTCATGGCCCACAAGACCTTTGATGATGGGAGCCTGTGGCCCTTCTGTCCTGTCCCTGTCCCTTCCTGTCCATGATGACTATGTTGAACCATTTCCTGCTTCCTTCATACAAGAGGTGATCAAAAATATGATGAATGTTTAAATAAAAAAGAACACATGACGGTAAGTAGAACAACATATTACCAAGAACGATGGGATAAGTGTGTTCAAATGTCTCCTCCCCAAGGTCAAAATGTCCATGAAAGGTAAATGTTTTTGAAGGATTTGAATTCTTTCAGGACATCAAGGCAGCCACAACAGTGCAACTAAAGACCCCTATGAAAGAGGACTTCCAGAACTGCCCCGGAAAGTGGCAAGCGCAGTGGAATAGGCGTGTTTGAAGTCTTTGGGTATATTTTGAAGGGAATTCATGCAATATATCTTCTACTACAGTAAATTTTAAAAGATTTCGACTGTTCACTGTATTTTTTGACTGCACCTTGTCTATCCCGCTTTTGTGTCTTTGGTTTGCATGCTCATCCTTTTCCTGCCTGTACCACTCTTTCATCTGGTTCCTCGGAGGATTGAACTTGGCCCTCATATCACTTGAGAAGGTTTCCCAGCTTCCCTAAAGCTGTGGTCATATTTCTCCTGTGCCCCCTCGGTATTCCACTGGGAAGGCTGTACTATGATCGTTCGTGGATGTGTAAGTCTTTCTTCTATACCGCACTCCTTGTGGCTGAAACTACAGCTCATCCTGTCTGTGTCTTGTGCATCCAACCCAGGGTTGGATGAGCTGAATGGATGAACAAAGGAGCAATGGAGGGGACAATCGCACACATTAATGAACCTCCTGTCTTTCCATGTGATCACTCTTTGGATCACGGAAGTGTCTTTTGTTTAGGAATTATACAAATCTCCAAGGGCAAGGAGGACCCTGGTGGTCCACTGAAGTTTGGGAGGGGAGGAGGAAGGGGCAGAGAGACTGAGGTGGGGGTTTTCCAGGGCCAGGCTGAATAACTGTCCCAGGAGCATGACAGAAGGCAGTGTCATGGTTGAGGCCTGATGTGTGACTTTGATAAAGTTGCTTATGAAACATCATTCCACACAGGTCGCTGTGGAGAAGGCACACAGCCGCTCACGAAGGGCAGGCTGTGCATGATCTTCAGCAAGTGACAGCCTGACTGCCTGTTCCACTTCACCGCCTGTGCCAGGGGACAGTACTCTGTCTGTTGGAACTGATGGTTTGAAACATGATTGTTACCATAAGATTCAGTCATTTAAAATCCAGCCTAGATGTCCCTTCCTGGACAATTTGTCAGCTCCTCACTCTGCTAACCTGTGTGTCTCTGTAGATCAAATCCCTGGGGTGCAGTAAGTTTGTCTGCATCCTCATATGCCCACCAGAGTGATGTCCCTGAGGATGGGGGAGGAGGTCATACCTCGTGGGCATCCTCTGTACCCGGCCCAGGGCGTGGTATAGATAAATTATAAGTTTCTTTTTTCTTTCCTTGTATGTGATGCTAAGAAATATAGACCAACCAGCTTGCAGGTGATGATGCTTATTGCAAGACTACCTGTAGCTCTGAGGATTCCAAATTTAGCTGGTCAATAAACAAACTTCTTCTTTATGGGTAGCTAAACAACTCCTAGATCAACAGACTGTGGCATAATAAGATGTTCCTCCACAAACTGGTGCAAAAGCAATAAGGAAAAGAAGCAAGGCTCCCCAACAGCGTGCCCCAGTGACAGAGTATATAAGTGAGGGCCACAGAAAGAGCTGGCACATCAGGCAGCCCCTCCTGGCACATCAGGCAGCCACCTCTTCACACTCCCAAGAAAGCACAGCCTCTCCACCATGCCTGGCAGCTGCTGCTCTAGGAAATGTCCTTCCCTGCCGGCTGTCTCTCTCTGCTCCACCGAGGTGAGCTGTGGGGCCCCGGTGTGCTTGCCCAGTTCGTGCCGGAGCCAGACGTGGCAACTGGTGACTTGTGAAGACAGCTGTGGGTCCAGCAGCTGTGGCTCACCGTGCTGCCAGCCGTCCTGCTCCATGAGCAGCTGCTGCCAGCCCGTGTGTTTTGAAGCCACCATCTGCGAGCCGTCCTGCTCTGTCAGCAGCTGTGTCCAACCCGTGTGCCTGGAGGCCACCATCTGCGAGCCGACCTGCTCTGTCAGCAGCTGTGCCCAGCCTGTGTGCTT